ATTATTTAATTAAAATGTTTAAACCAAAAATGATAGAAAATGAGAAAGATTTTTGTTGTTGGTAAGGACATTAGTTACCTGTTGTTACTATTGCACTTGATCCATAATTATCAAGGAATCAAAGACTCTTATGCACAGAATGTTTAGAGAATACAGACTTAGATGCTAAAGTAGTCGGATTAAAGAAAATGATTTCATTAATTGAAGAAGCCTAATTAAAGAAGATGGAAAAAGTAGAATATGTAATACTTAACTAAATAAAGTTAATTGAATAAATACATAGTATTGTAGATCAAATGAAATCATATGCCATCTAATAATTTGACTCATAGATTACAATAATAAAGGAATGGATTAAAAATCTATAATAATAAAGATCGTAATAATCTCAGTATAGCTTTTATGAACAATTAGAAATTATGATTATGAAATAAAATAAAATTGATGATAACTCTTAATAATTGATTCATGAAATTTAATAAACAAATCACTGTTGGACTTCCAAATTATATCCTAAATTAGAATTATTTAATACATTCTTAGAATATCAAAAATGTAAAGAATTTATTCTCAAATTTAGAATTATCTACTTAGACATTTACTCTAAATTAATAATAATAATAAATAACAATAAATTAATTTAATTATGATAAATAAGAATTATTATAGAAATCTTAAATCAAATTAAAACTAATTGATTAATCTGTTAAATAGAATGAAGACTGTCAAACAATAGTTTTTGATTCTTCTGGGTAAATTATGATATCAACTTAAAAGTCTGATATTAAAGTATGGAGATTTCTAAATGGAACAATCAAATTAGTAAAAACATTGTAAGGACATACTAGTAATGTCTAATGTTTAGTTTATAGTAAAAAAAAAAATTCGTTTATTTCATGTTCTTTAGACAAATCAATAAGATGTTGGTAATAAATGAACTAAACTGAGTGGATTTCTTCTCTACCTTATGAATAGCATACAGCTCGCGTTATGTGTATTATATTGAATTCAAATGAGGATTTACTATTTTCTGGAAGTTCTGACTAATCAATTAAAGTTTGGAAGGTTGATTTTAATCAAAATAAATTGGCATTTCTGTATTCTTTGGATAAACATAGTAATATAGTTGTGTCTTTAAGTTTAAATTAATCAGAAAAATAACTAGTTTCATGTGCATATGGTTAGAATTAAATAATTATTTGGGAAAGAAGAGAAAAAGATAAATTTGAATTCAAATATTTTGTTAAATAAACAATTAAAAACTATGGGTTGAAAGTTAAGTTCATCAAAGAGAATTAATTTATTT